TTTCCTATCCTTGCTATCTAAAATGTAATTGGTTGAAAATCTTGTTTGTTGCCACATGGGCAAGGCCCAAGGGAGTGCACCCCTCCTTGCCATGGGGAAGGTGGCTGCACCCCAAGGGGGTCTAGGGAAGGGGTCTGAGCCTTCTGGTTCATTCTTCACTTCCTATCCCCAACAACACAATTGGGAAATGGGATTTCTCTCTTCTCAACTCTCCCTCCGCAGTTTTGTGACTGCATCTCCTAGCATTCTTCAGACTTAGTAGTTTTTCAGGAGCTGCTACTCTCTGGTTGTATTAGAACCTATTATTAAGTGGGTAAATGCCCTTTTTACTACCAGATCCGTTACAAAAGCTGCCTCCTTTCTTAAACCATCACCCACCTCACTCGTCTACTTTCTACCCTGCTCTGCCCTCCCGTCTGCCTCCCTCCTCTTTCCACAATGGCAGAACATACTTTCAACTCCGATCTCGTTATGTCTGCTGCCGAAGAGGAGGCTCTCATCGCCTCGGGTGTCGATCTCCTGGTGGAAGACCTCCCTGACGGTTTCATTCCCGATCTCTCCGATTCCGCCGAAGTTCACGTCGCCAAAAAGCCTTGCACGGCCTCTGGTGACGCTTCCGCTCGGCTCCCCCCTACCCGTACCATGACGGCTGCCGCCTCAGTGCCGTCGGCTTCGACTCGCTCTAGGCCCGCCCCGGCTTCGGCTGCTGCTTCCGCCCTCCCGGCCTCACCCCGCCCGTCTGTTGCCGCTGGTCCGGACGGCCCCCCTGGTCCGGCAGGCCCGCCCCGCCTTCCTTCCCGTCCGCGAGTGGCTACCGCTGGCCCCATGCTCTTCCCTGCCCGCCGTCGCGTCATCGTCATGATCCTGCTCCTCGAAACCGTTGTTGAATCCCATCGGGGGGATATCCTTGTGGAAATCCGTGCCCCGCCTTCCTTCCCGTCCGCGAGTGGCTACCGCTAGCCCCATGCTCTTCCCTGCCCGCCGTCGCGTCATGTCACGATCCTGCTCCCCGAAACCGCTGTTGAATCCCATCGGGGGGATATCCTTGTGGAAATCCGCGCCCTTCTCAGCGGTTCCAGCTACAGCACCGTCATCATCCCTGCATACGATGTGACTGTCGGAGAGCCGCTCCGTGTCGCCTGCCGCGTTTACGCTCGCCTGCTCTTCTCCTGGCAGTCGCAGGCCGACGCGACTGTATTCCGAGCTCTCTTTCCCCGCGTGCTTCGGATCCCGAACCTCCGCCCCACTCTCCTGAAGGTTTTTGAGGACCGGAACAAAGCATTCACAGCCGCCAAAGCCGCTGGCGCAGCCACTCTCTCAATCCACAACTTCCCCTTGGACTTTGATCCGGAGGACATTCGTACCTTCCTCCTCACTTCCACCGCTGGTTCGCCCTGGCTGGTGGACCTCAAGGACTTCCACCGCGCCACTGATCCGTACGAGGACACCGCCTTCACTCACCTGTCCGGTATCCCAGTTGCGACCCCGGAAGATCCTAACTTTGAGCTTCTCCCCTCTACGATCCTGCTGGAGGAGATCATGCCGCCTGTGAGAGTACGACGGCTTATGCCAGCTATGCATGCTTGCCTTTACTTTATTATGCTATTTCTAGCTTAGGTTTATTTTCTGCATGCATGAATTGCTTGATTTCCTAGGCTAGGTGCTTTCCTATATTTTATTATAGTTATAGCACCGAGCTAGGTTGCGTACACCGAATTCTGGGCTATTCGGTTGCCACCGAATTGCCTTCTACCGAATTCGGGAAGGGTCTGTTCGGGACGCTTCGCGACCCCCAGAACCTTCGCGTAACACCTGGTTACTGCCCCTTGTGTCGAGCCTATATATAGCCTCGTGTTGTACCCAGGTGATCATTCAATTCAAACTCTCTTTTCTGAGCTCGATCCTAGATCCTCACACCGCCCATGGTGCTTAATCTCTCCTGCCACCTCTGCTCGATCTGTGCCAACAATCACCGGGCCGCCGATCACGCCGCATTTGCCTTGAGGCGCAGGGGGCGCCTCGCCAACGCTAGCACAATCTCCGTCGCTCAACTGCAACAGGCTAACGGTATTCTCCCTAACACCCTCTCAAGCCCCTTTTTGCACACCCTCATGACTTCACTGCCTGATCGTCTCCTTTTTTGCTATAGCATACGTTTGCACCAATCTTCCTCCTCCCCCTCCAGTGCTCCGCCCTCTCCATCTTACTCGTGCCCCCCACCCCCTGTCTCGCTCCGCTCCACCGCTGGCCCCCCGCCACCTTTTCCCCTCGCCCTAACCGTTCTCTGTCCCTGCTTTCTTTCCCTCTTCCCCCCTCACCTAGCTCGTAACTGTGGTCCAAACATCACCCTTTTTACCACCTTCGTCCCACTTACCCTGCCCCCCCCTACCGCTCCCCGTGTGTGCCCCACCCCAGCACCGGGACTGCCATATCCCGACTTTCCCCCTTAACCTCAACCTTCCTCGCTCCCGTTCCCCTGCTTTCACCCTCCCTCATCGTCTCCACTGCCTCCTTACCACCCTGCGCCCCTTCTCCCCCTCCGCCCCGCCCTTTCCTTCCTCCTTACATGCTTAACGTTCCTCCCTGCTCACCTTTTTCCCCGGCCTCCTGGCCACACCTCCCTTCCCCCATACCGCCCCTTGCTCTAGTTCGCCCTGGCCCCCCATACCTCACCGGGCTCAACTTTCCACTTGTCTCATCTCTCTTCCTCACCCGCTCCCCTTCTTTCCCCCGCCCCCACCTCTGCCTTTCTCCCCGTTTTCCCGTCGCCCAGCTTCTCCCAACCCCTTTCCAGGCCTCACCTCTCTTCCCCCAATTTTCCTGTGCCTTTGCCTACCTGGCCTCTCCCCTCCGTGCTGCGTTAGGCGTCGCTCCTGCCACTGCCTTCCCCCTAGCCCTCCCCCTTCCCCTCCCCGTGTCCAGGCCTTTGCGTCTTCCCCTTTTGCGCAAAACCAGCCCCCGTCCTGCCATACTCCTAACCTCCCTTCGCCTCCCCCTCTCTCTTCCATCCTCCCGTGTCCCCCCCCCCCCCCCCCTTCACTCCCTCAACCCCTGTTTCCGTAGCCTGTTTGCCAGCCTTCCCCTGCTTACTAACCGTCCCTCCCCCCTTCCCCCACCCCTGGCCCCGTTGCTTCCCTCACCTACTCGCCTCTTGTACCTGTCCCGCCTTACCTCCCCCCTCAACCCGCCTCTCCCCCTCCCCCTTTCCCTATTTCCCACCTGCCTTTCTTCTCCCACGCTTATTTTCCACCCTCTACATCTCGCCTGCCCCTTCCCCCCACTCTTTCCGCTCTTCCCCCGTCCCATCTTTCTGCACATGCCACTTCGCACACATGTCCACCACCTGCCCTTTTTTTTCCACGCTCCTGGCCTCTCTCTTCCCTCCCCCCCCCCCCGTAACCCACCAAAACCCCTGCCCCGCTTCTTGCACCCTCTCTGACGCCTCTCTGCATGGTGCAGTCCGCTGCTCCCACCTCATCCATCCTTCCCCCTCTCACCACCTCCCGTCCACCCCGCTGCCCCTTCGTTCCCTCCCCCTGCCCCCCCGCTGCCCCCCCCTCCGGCCTCTGTGTGCCTCAGGGAACCTCTTGGGGACCCACGCCGCTCCCACCGCATTCTGCAACGACCCCGGCCTCCTCCTCATTGGCCCGGACGACAAGGTCGAACGCTGGACCTGTGTGCTTTGCGAGTTCGTTTGCGGCCCAGCCCTCGACAGCGCAATCGCACACCTCCATTCGGAAGGTCACTCTTCCCGCGTGAAAGCGACGGCTCACCGCTCCGCAGCCAAGGACACGTTTGGTCCCTGGCGCGCGCTTACCTTCCTGCAGAAGGTCGAAGGGGATACTCCTTTCAGTGGCTGAAGTCCCTTTTCCCTAGCTCGAGACGTGCTATAGCTTTATGCTTGCTGCCTCTTATCTTGTTGTTTGGTGCATGTTTATTTCCACTATCTCACATCTTATATGGTCGGACTATTTCAGTGTTTGTGGAACTGTATCTCTTGCTACCTGAAACCCTTTCCTCACTCTACTCCATATTACAGTTTACTCCCCCCACCCATGACTTCACTCACCTAATCACACGCCTAGTTCCCCACCCTCCTTTTTTTAACACCACGGCCCTTCCGCTCGCCACCCTTTCACCGGTAACCAAGCTGCATGCATCACATCAAGCCCGGTGGATACGCATGATACCTCATGCGCGGGCCATCCCCTCTCCCCTATGTTAACATTCCTACGCATACGCTGTCTCAATGTGAACGGCCTTAAAGCCCGGGGTCAGCATGGTAAATTTTCAAGTTATGTGGGTTTGAAATAGGCAGTAGGTGAGGGTGTGCGAAACTTCTTTCGGCATGAAGGCTGTGGTGAGAATTATGTTCCTCCGCGAGCACATACCCATTTCGCTCACACCAAACCAGCGATACCCACCGACCCTGTGCGAAAAGTGAGTCGCACGAACAAACACTCTATCCAATCAGAAGCTTTCACACTCTCACGAAGAACACAGAAAGCAAGGCCGAAGCAGAAGTCCCCACATCACCACTGACTCAACTCACATGTACTAACGGGAAATAGAAAAACATCGACGCACGTGCTACTAACAACACCACCCACTCAGACTGGAATCGGTAAAACGATGCAACAACGAAAACGTACTCGACAGATTACCTCAGATTATTGGCGACGCGACTATCTCAGGTGCTGGCAACACTAGAGCGGAGGGGTGTGTAGTAACGTGCAAGCCCAAATGGGACATACAGGAAACGCGCTTGTTCAGGAAGCATTGGAGAGCTGAGGGATGACATTTCCTACACGTTCAGCAGCTAGTCATTACGAGAAACCCTCGCTTACCTGTAGTTTTAGAATCTCAACAATAGAAGAACGAGGGAGCGATTCCGTCCCCTGAAAGCGCCCGCAGTGCGTGAAGCATAGCGCTCAACGGTCGAAGGTGCAGACCGCGCGTGGGTCACACGTACAGTGCCACGCACTCCGCGAGCCCCAAGCTCACGCCCCGGGCGCTGAGGGTGGACGCTCCAGACAACGCAGCTCGTGCACTGGGAGACGAGCAGCCCGCGTGAATGCGCAACGAGCAGCGGAGGAGCCCACCCGACGAGAAACGGAGGAGCCCGCGCGACGAGCAGCAGAGGAGCCCGCGCGACGAGCAGCGGAGGAGCCCGCACGACGAGCAGCGGAGGAGCCCGCGCGACGAGCAGCGGAGGAGCCCGTGCGACGAGCAGCGGAGGAGCCCGCGCGCGTAGCAGCGGAGGAGCCCGCGCGACGAGCAGCGCGCGCTGTTGGCGACACGCAGCTCACACGTGGGGTGACCGGGCTACGACCCCCGCTCCCGAGTGTCCTGGGAGAACTGCGCACTGAAGGGGAACGTGGGGCAGCACACGCCCCTGAAGGATCGATTAAGAGGTTACCACAGGTGAGACCCCAATTCCCTGATAGTAGACTCTTGTACAGAGTACGAGTTGCTGCTGCCTTGGGGGTCCGACACACTACTGTTCGAGCGCAAGGCAGCAGCAACCAATGTTGCTGCTGCCTTGGGCCTGCTGTTACCACAATGCTGGCACCTGTGCTGTCCCAGGGCAGCAGCAACCAATGTTTCTGTTGCACTGGGCCTGCTGTCACCACAATGCAGGCACCTGTGCTGTCCCAGGGCAGCAGCAACCAATGTTGCTGCTGCCTTGGGCCTGCTGCTGTCACCACAATGCACGCACCTGTGCTGTCCCAGGGCAGCAGCAACCAATGTTGCTGCTGCCTTGGGCCTGCTGCTGTCACCACAATGCACGCACCTGTGCTGTCCCAGGGCAGCAGAAACCAATGTTGCTGCTGCCTTGGGCCTGCTGCTGCCACAATGCAGGCACCTGTGCTGTCCCAGGGCAGCAACAACCAATGTTGCTGCTGCCTTGGGCCTGCTGCTGTCACCACAATGCACGCACCTGTGCTGTCCCTGGGCAGCAGCAACCAATGTTGATGCTGCCTTGGGCCTGCTGCTGTCACCACAATGCACGCACCTGTGCTGTCCCAGGGCAGCAGCAACCAATGTTGCTGCTGCCTTGGGCCTGCTGCTGCCACAATGCAGGCACCTGTGCTGTCCCAGGGCAGCAGCAACCAATGTTGCTGCTGCCTTGGGCCTGCTGCTGTCACCACAATGCACGCACCTGTGCTGTCCCTGGGCAGCAGCAACCAATGTTGCTGCTGCCTTGGGCCTGCTGCTGCCACAATGCAGGCACCTGTGCTGTCCCAGGGCAGCAGCAACCAATGTTGCTGCTGCCTTGGGCCATTGGTTGCTGCTGCCTTGGGCCTGCTGCTGTCACCACAATGCACGCACCTGTGCTGTCCCTGGGCAGCAGCAACCAATGTTGCTGCTGCCTTGGGCCTGCTGCTGTCACCACAATGCACGCACCTGTGCTGTCCCAGGGCAGCAGCAACCAATGTTGCTGCTGCCTTGGGCCTGCTGCTGTCACCACAATGCACGCACCTGTGCTGTCCCAGGGCAGCAGCAACCAATGTTGCTGCTGCCTTGGGCCTGCTGCTGTCACCACAATGCACGCACCTGTGCTGTCCCAGGGCAGCAGCAACCAATGTTGCTGCTGCCTTGGGCCTGCTGCTGTCACCACAATGCACGCACCTGTGCTGTCCCAGGGCAGCAGCAACCAATGTTGCTGCTGCCTTGGGCCTGCTTTCACCATCGCTTGTTGCTCACCGTTGTGTGTTGCTTGGAGTGCAATTGCACATTTCTGTTGTATCCTATGATGCCCTTAACCTTGCCACTGCCCCCCTACCCCTGACCACCCACCTTTCCCTCTCTCCTTGGGGTATGTGCTGACATGCTTCAAGATGGCACCGGTGGGTGTAGGGACGGGAGTGCATCCTACAATACAGGCATGTAAGGATGCTCAGAGGGGAACAGTCAATATTTCAGTCCACATGCGGCCACTTCTGTGCGTGCTCCGCGTGGGGCTCTTGGCATTGTACTTTGGGGACACAATGGCGACGACGGATGCTGTGATTCATTTTTTGGCGGAGACGGCACCTCAAGCGACCAGCCGACTCATTGCGGCGGGCCTAGCAGCAGGTAAGTCACAACGATTGGATCGATGTTGAAGTGTGCATGATATGCACTATTGATTGTCTTCCTATTAGATGTGTGAAATTTTTGAAATGTGTCACGTACCTGTACATCCTGTGCCTCTTAGATCCTTGTTCAAGTGACACACATACCGGCACGATTGTGGAAAGACACCGAAAGGAGTACGGCCGCATCTTTAAGGAACACGCTAAAGTATTGATAATGTGGCGGACCTGCAAGAACGGCCCAATCGAGTCCTTGCCAGGCTTAGATACTCATTCCCGCTTGTGCAGTATGATGCGCGCGGAAGACTGCGACAGGTTTTTGGTCAATCATGCGGAGGCGCCAGGCGTGGCGCGGCATTCGCAGCGACACGTAATTCAGGCATGATTTGGAATTTGCATATGGAGTTTGCTTGTATTCGATGTGAGTAATGAACGACATTCCTAAATCATGCCATTCATGTATCAGGGGCCAACCTTGGAGGGAGTGGCAACGACATGCCAACCGAACTGCCAGATGCGCCAGTCGTGGGCGTTGAGGAGAGGGACGGCTTGGATGCTGATGAGGGCGCTGCCAGTGCGCCAGGAGATACTGCGGTGGCTGCGCCCACACCGAGTTCGACGACAACTCCAGAACGGCCAGTGCAAGGGTGAGACTAATGGGTGAGGTGACTAAATATCCATGATGCCAGTGTGACATGCATGATGTCAGTGTGCGCTGTCTCACATGTCATTGTATCCATGCCCAAACTCCCTTCCTTTTTATATCCACTAGGCCTGCCAACTGCCACCGACGGGCAGTTGGGCGTGGGAGTGTCCCTAGGCACTGGCCTTCTGCTCCGAGCGTCGATGACATCGACGAGCAACGGGTATGTCTTGTCGAGCCGCGACAGCTGGTTGGGTTCTTCCAAGGGTGTCGTTTGGTGTGTTCACATGAGCGCGTGGTAGTGAGAGGATGACATTGAGATCATGGAAGTTCTCATGGGCATCAGTCGGCATGTTTTGGCGATGTGACGCATGCTCGCATGGCGTAGAGTTTTGGTCATGTCCGAGCCGGCGTATAGAAAGAGCACGAACCGGTGTAGGCGTGCGTTCTCCGATGCTACAGTAAAAATTTGTTGGTGAGTTTGCTTTAGCCAGAATGGGGTATCAGCAAATGTGGGAGTTTTGTCGCAACTTCGGCATTCCAACACCGGGAAGGGCACATTCTACAAGTACCTTGGTGATTATAATGGGCTATGGAATGCTATACGGAGAGAGGCTGATAAGTTTGTGGCTGAGGTACGAGAAGAGATGCTGAAGCGTGAAGTCCCTGCAGAATATGTAGTGGTCGATGGTCGATGGTCCCATGTTCGAGAAGGAGAGTGGTGTACAGTATCGTTCTTAGATTTACCGTCTAGGAAGACAATGTACTGTGCCACAACACGGAAAGGGGTGGACGACACATCTGCGGTGCGGGTTTAGATGAACTGTCGCAGAAAGGATTTACGGTGGAAGGGATCATATCTGATCAGGGGTCTACATTTCGTGGGGCTGCGTCCGAAAGAGGATTGAACCACCAGGTGGACTGGTGGCATGTGAAGCGGACTCTCTACAATCTGTTTTTGAAAGAACTTCAGGATGCAGTCCGTGCACCGGTGGCTGTGGACAAGGCGAGCTGTATTAAGGATCTGTAGCTTGCGACTGTCGAAGGGCTACGGGAATGGCTGAAAGGACGGGGGTTGGTGAAAGATTCGAAAGCTTCTCTGAAGGAGTCTTTGGTGGAATCAGTTTGTGCCGCCATGGGCACGATTGTTTACAGAAAGATGACTCCTGAAGAGGCAAAGTGGAAGTATCCCGAGCTAAGAAAGGTGGTGAGGAAGGGTGGGGAGTGTAGTACGGTTGAGGTGCCTGTGAACTACGGTGAGGTGCCTGCTGCTTTTGATGCTGGTGTGCGGGAGCAGGATGAGCGGGCTGAGCGGGCTGCCGTGGACGTGGCGACACCAGACGAGGTGAATGTTGACGTTCAGTGGGAGGACGTGGAGGAGCTATGGAGTTACCATGTGCACCCGACACACGGTGCACGACCCGCGTCTTTGGCGAGCACGCTCATCATGCTTGCGCACGCGGGAGCGAACGGAAACTCTCATTTCATCGGTGGATCAATTCCTTGGGCCAACACCGACACGGAGACAGGTATGCATCCACCCCTTTGTTTAGTTAAGGGCATGGTTGATCCGTTGTCAACTCTATACTTAGGATCCCTCCTCGTCTATCATTTTCTCTCATTCACAGCCACGCTTGGTGGAGGCGGAGCTGATTCCGCAGTGCAGACGCATAATGCATTCTGCGAGCCCGAGACATTACCTCGGTGGACTGGTCGCCGAAAGCGGAAACGAGGTGAAGATCAGATCAATTCCGGCAAGGAGGACCAAACAGTGGCACAACGTTTCTCCTCTCATTTCTATCACGTCATGGTGCGGTGTGGTGCGAAGAAGAAAGATGGGCACCCTATGACCCCGGCCGAGGTGGCGAGAGAGCTTGGGAGCCCACCCAACCATTGGGCAGGGGACCACTCGGGCTGCTGCTCGGGGGTAGGAGATACCCCACCTCGCTGCGTCAGAGAGGGGTGGGGCAGGGAGCATGCCATATATGAGTTCGGGTCATCGACACACGAGGCGGTTCGTGAATGGTTTGCCAGGCGCTTAAGCCCTGGGAAGGTGAAGTCGCTTGTGCATGGCGCATCTAGTTCACTCAACGAGTCCTTCCATTCTTTGATCATCAAATACGCACCAAAGCGGATTAGGTTCCAGGGCAGTTTCCCGGCACGAGTCGGTCTCGTGGTTCTTCATTGGAATCACGGCATGGATCGTTTGGTGACCGCCTATCGCACGAGAGTCCGGCAGGTGACGAGGATAAGACGTGGATCCAAGGAGCGCATTTTGACCCCAATGGATTGGGGTTGGGTTGATCGCATCATGCAGGAATGACAACGAACACTGCGACTTGGAGATATTGTAGACGTTGAAGAGACGCCTGACACCTCAGCAACGCCTGCGCAGCTAGTCAAGGCCTCGAACGCACGGACCATGGCATCTGTACTTGAGCTCGAGACACCAGTGCGCCAAGGCGGGAGGACCGGTCGGGAGTGTGGCACGTCTCGTGGATCCGCACGCCGTCGTTCGGGTAAGCAACGGGGGCACAACGTGAGTATTGCTATTGTATCGGTATGGCTCTTACTCGTGTCACCAACATTCTATCCAGCGTAAGATATTCACCTATCCGCGTTTTCCGTTCAATCTTTATGTTGTTTATAGGTGATGTGTCGAACCTCCCACGCTAAGTGTTTGAGGCGAACGTCTAGCGAGCTTTCAAACCCGCGCGAGGCTTGCTCGGCATCACACATAACCACAACGACGCCTACCACAACAATCCACACCCCCGAAGGTATTTGACTAACACCCCACGCCCTATGCCTCCCCACATCTAGAATTTGTACAACCATAATTCCATGCCATGCTTGGACCCTGCCGTGTCCTGGCCCCCCCATCCCATCCTTGTTTGTTATCACTAAGCATGCCATGCCATGCCCTTCCCTGTCCAGGCACGCATCGCCATTGTCTGCTCGTTCTAAGCATGCAATGCCAGGCCAGGACATGATTTGCCGTCCTTGTTGCTCTGCCCTGTCATACCCTTCCCCGCCCTGCCCTGCCCTGTCTTGCCCCGGTCACTACCTTGTCTGCACCCTATATGCATTCCATACAATGCCTAGAGGGGCCATGCCCTGCCCTGCTTTCTCAAGGCCCGCCCCGCCCTGGTTTGCTCCCAGGACATGAGTTGTCAAAGTATAAATGTGCTATATGTTTGTAGGCTGTAGTGGGGTAGCCAATATGGGGTACAACCCCAACTAGGGTTTCCTATTTGTACCCTTGCTTCTTTCAATCCAATCATACTTGCCTCATAGTTTTCACATGGTTTCAGAGCAGTAGGTCCGTTAGGACCGATTTTTTTTTCCGGGCCCACCGAACGCCTGCCTGACTAGGGTTACCGCGCTGCCCCACATGCGCCCTGCCTAGCCTGCCCGTCGCGCTGCCCCTAATCCCGCGCCCGGCCCCTTCCCTGCCCGTCGCGCTACCCCTAAGCCCGCGCCCGGCCTCTGCCTGCCCGTCGCGCTGCCCCTAGGCCCGCGCCCGGCCCCTACCTTACCGTCGCGCTGCCCCTAAGCCCGCGCCCGGCCCCCTGCCTGCCCGTCGCGTCGCCCTAAGCCCGCGCCCGGCCCCCTGCCTGCCCGTCGCGTCGCCCTAAGCCCGCGCCCGGCCCCTGCCTGCCCGTCGCGCTGCCCCTAAGCCCGCGCCCGGCCCCTGCCTGCCCATCACGTTGCCCCTAAGCCCGCGCCCGGCCCCCTGCCTACCGTCGTGCTGCCCCTAAGCCCGCGCCCGGCCCCTGCCTGCCCGTCGCACTGCCCCTAAGCCTGCGCGCGGCCCCCTGCCTACCGTCGCGCTGCCCCTAAGCTCGCGCCCGGCCCCTGCCTGCCCGTTGCACTGCCCCTAAGCCTGCGCCCGGCCCTCTGCCTGCCCCTGCATCCTGCTTTACGCCTGCCTGCCCTGCGCTGCTGCCATGGCGACCATGAATGTGCTAGCTTTCGAACCTGACGGTCGCCCGATCGCATTTCCCACTTGGCTTGACGATCTGCAAATTTTCATTCTGACTGATGCCAAAGATGGTGTCTCGCTTTTCGCCTACGCCACTGGCACTGCCGCTGCTCCTGCTGACAGTGCT